GCCCAGCGCAGCGCAGGGAAAGAGCGCAATCGCGAGCATCGCAGCGGCCGCGTGTCGGCGGCGCCGCAGCAGCTCGGGCAGCGCATCGCTCGCGCGCGCGGACGCCGTATGTGCGCGCATTCCATTTATTACAAATATTGTTTCCGGAACGCTTTCGAATTCCAGGGAATTAATTTATGCTAATTGCATGCAATCGATAGTAATTATAATAATTCGAATCGGCGGCCGGCGACGCACCTCCGGTATTACCCGGTGCCACCGCACCGCCTCCCTGGGGCCGCTGATTCCTTCATTGGCCATCTCGTTCCGCGGTGAATAGATGCCCCGGGTTGGAATTGTCGGATTGGCCCCTGGGATTTCCAATTCCGCGGATATCCACGCACACGCAAAGAATTCAATTCATAGGATTTGCCTTCCCAATCTGACCGACTTAAGTTAGGGTCAGAGACTCCAAGGGATGAAACTGGTAATTGATTCAATACCTCTATCATCCTTCTGTAGTTTATTTTCGTCTGCTTTCTTTCTAAAATGTTTTGTAAAATGCGCTAAATTTGAGCACTGTACCAAATAATCATTTTTGGTACGAAAAAATCATCCATCCGTTTTTGTAATCTCTGGTGCAATTGTATAATATTAACGTTGTGGTTGCTTAAAGCGATATTAACGTTGTATAATCTTGATATTAACATTTCAGAGAAAGCAATGTTTTTATAGTTCGTTCTTGAAAAATGGGAAAGTATTAACTTCAGGGGAAATAGTCAAAATGCAGTTTCTCATTTCAAATAAACCGTCATACTCCATTTCTTTTACACTTCCACTCTTTTTCTATCTACAGTATTTAGAGTATTTATGGGCACAAAAATCATTTACTATTTCACAGAATACATATAGTACATTTGAAAGTATACCTAATTTTCTCGACTTTCTTTTACTTATGTTATTATAATAAAGTACATTTCGCACATTTTTACATTCCTACTGGGAGGAAGGGTATCAAACACTTCCATGAATTCATAACTTTCATTGAAAACTGGCAAACCTGGTAGACGCTGTCCTGCCTCCATGACTCTCTCCCTCTCCGTCTTTCACTGTCCCTGCTCCTCTCTGTCTTCCTCTTTCCGTCATGTCATTGGGTCATGTCGTCGGGCATGAAATGTTCATCAACGTTCACAAACGTTCAATTGCAACGCCTTGCGGTCATGGGTTACAGGGTACGTGTGGTTAACACGTAGGCATCCCTATGCCATATTCTAAGCGATATATGTAATCATCTTTGATTCGAAATCTCATTTGTATTTAATTAACCGAGTAAGTGAATGCAGTTGGTGAATTCACATTCTTTTCACATCATTTCATTTTCATTCACATCATTACTTTGAATTCACATCATTTGGCCCCAGAATGAAATGGAGTAAAATTATAAATGAATGAAACGAGTTCAATACATAAAAATGCGTTAGACTAGAGTTCTCTGATATGATTGTAAAAGATAATGTCTCCCACACGAAAACTCGAATTGAGAACAGACGTGTAGAATAGAGAGAGATGAGAATAACTGTGTAACAAGTTCGGCAGTGTCGACAATGCTGCATGTCCACGAGATTAGAAGGGACGTAAATGTCAGTCGACGCGAAGGGGCATGGAGCAGTTCGGATGAGAACTCTTCTTGTCGCATCGGTGGAATAGCGGTGGTCCTGAAGCTCGGAAAGGAGATACCACGAACAAGCTGGTACCTGTCGTTGCGCAGTTGGCGAAACGTGATTGGGCGTGCCCTCATCTCGAGCCGATAGGGTGGCCCCGCCCATGCCCTGCTTCGCCGTCCGGCCACCACCGCTCCGACCGTCGCGGCTCCTCCGCCGCCGCCTCCGCCCCCTTACCGCCCCCCTTCCGCCTCCCTCGCCTCGCTCGCCCTCGCTCGCCCTCCTTCGGCCCTCCCTCGCCCTCCTCGCCTCCCTCGCTCCCTCGCCCTCCCTCGCCCTCCTCGCCCTCCTCGCCCTCGCTCGACCCGCTTCACGCCCCCACGCAGAAAAACGCTGCCCCAGGCGGAGGAGGCAGTGGCTTTCGTCGTCTGCTCCAATTGGCAGCGAATGGATCGGCGCGCGCTTAACGAAGCGGGGCGCGCCCTAATTAATTTATGACGCGCGCAAATGTATTACGATTTTGCAGCGGCGACGCCGCGCCCCCGCCCGCCCACCTAACGCTCCGCTTGCACGGGCGAGAGGGAGAGGCAGGGAGAAGGCGGAGCGGGCAAGGGGCTAGGGAGTGCTAGAAAAACTGAAATGAGTGAGCGAAGAAAGCTGGCAGCGGCCGACCTGGATGGACGAGGTGGCCCTTTCATTTAAGCGTCGTCGCGGAACGCCTTGTGAGTCTGCTGCCCACAGACTGAGGAGCCCGCAAGTATATCAGTGTCTAGTGAAAAGATTAATATGTGTCCCCATGAGAGACATAGAGGCTACCCGCCAACGCATAGTCGAAATCGGCATCCCCTGGTGCTGAAAAAGCCCCAGGAAGAAAACTAACTAAATAAAGCTAGCTGCGACAATGGGGAAGCCCATGACAGCGGTTTTCAGCTTTTGGGAAAAATGATAATTTCTGTGTAAAGATAATATTTACTTAAATTAATAAATTTATACATTACATTTTGATTAGGCTGTAATGTATAAGTGATGTATGTGTACTTATAGTATTGTTCTTTATGTTTATCACGGGACCTGAGTATGGGATAAAAATATTCTGAAAAGTGGGCAACCTGTATGTTTTAATATGTAATTTACTCCGACCAAGTCCCACGATCTCAATTTCCAAGTTAAAAATTCGGTCGTGTTGCCTGTGGAGCAAGGCGGTCTAGGTTGCTAGTGGATGTTTTGTAATTAAAAATAACGGAAAAGAAATCGCCGCAACAATAGAGATTTTCCCTCCCGTATGTAGGTCTCCATACACAAGACAGATCACAATGAAGATATGTAAAAACAATTCGAGCATTCCAGGATTTTTTAAATTTCCATAAGACTTGGTTAGAGTTCAGCATTCATTGTTACATCATTTCCGTGGCTATAATTTATAACATACCGTGGCTATAATTTATAACATAAATGAACTTTAAGTAGCTTTAATAAATTAAATGAATAGTACACATAAAAAACTTGATACAAAGTATTCTAGTGTGCGACAATGTCGTCCCTCCGACCGTTTCGCCTTAAACGCGGACACGTTGAAGAGACCAACAAAACGTCCAGACGCCCGTTGGCAGGCGCAGCGACGGTGGTCATTAGGTCCGTAAGTGTAATGAGTGTTTTTATCGTGAGAGGTGACTGTGAACTTCCCCGGTGGATGGAGAAATTCGGCGACGACTTACCCATCGTCATGCGGGATTTTCCCCAACCAAGTATCTCCCACCAGCGAGGCCGAGACAAGCTCTCAGGTCACGCTTGTCTTACGACAAATGTGGTAGAAGTGTAAATGTGTGTAAGTAAGGTGTGAGAAGAGGGCTGGAAAGAGGAACGAAATATCGCGAGCTGTCATTGGCTGTTTGTTAGGGTACGGAATTTGCTTGGCGTTTATCGGAGAAACCACAGTAAACTACCTATAAGAGCAGCCGGCTGCCTTAATTATCCTCCAGTGAACAGCTGAGTTCGAACTAGTTATCTAGTTAATATCCGAAAATCCTGCCACCGTCGGGACTCGATCCATAGGACACTGCAGTCAGCTGCTGTCATCAGTTAATGCCTCGGGCAGCCTATGCCGATTTTGCAGGTGCTGGTGGTCAGTGCACTGTCTTCTGTTCCGCACAAAACACGAAGCATTGCAACACTTCGTGCTTGCTTCTCGCTCTCATGGAAGTGAGAGGAACAGGAACTTATAACAGGAACTTATGTCACAATATGGATTTCACACAGCAGGCACGTCAAGGTCGCGGCGAAGCTAACTCGCTCACTTCAGTTTGCGGGCAATGCGTTCAAACACCAATATACAAATTCTCATTTCATCTACTAAACCAAAGAAATGATCCATTAATGTGTAATAATACATAAATCAGTTATTTTCAATTACGAATAAAATGAATCATTTTGGATCAAAAGAATCTTGATTTTCCAATTTAGTAAAAACGGTTTTAAATAATTGTAAAACTTTCTAGGTTGAAGTTAGGATTTTTACAAGCAAAAATACGTCTCTGATAGGGACTCTCCGCGCATAACGGAGAATTGTTAAGTTAGAGCGTCTTGTTTATTTATTCCACATTTTTTATATATACAACAAATATTTAAGTCATTTAATAAAATATATCACACAAAGAAAACGAAAAACATCATCTTTGAAAAATATTTTTGCCCCTGGTCAAAAATGTTTATAAAAGGCAGAATATAAAATGAACATGAAATAGTAATTAATAGGAATGAACATTAACATAATTCCAACCTTAGGTGATTGATAAAAATTTGGCAAATATTTTCGTATGAAATCTTGCCTCGCGATGCTACAGTTTGCCCCTGTACACCTCTTTCAGGATTTGGAGTGGAAAAGGGGCAGAGTCGGGGGAATTTACCCGGGCTTCCTAGGCGGGCTCGTAGCTAGAGCGGGTGTGGTTTGACATACCTTGCCTCCCACACAGTATCGAAAGACCGGACCTGGCACCCATCCCAGATGGCGTAACAGAAAGAGAGAAAGGAGTGTGAACGGAGGCACTTACTCGTTTTGGAAAAGCGGGAATTCGAGAAGCATGTTGGAAATGTTCAGTCGTTTATGGAAGACGCGAGGCCGACGGTTCTGAACATTCTATTACTCTCCGAAGATCTCGTGAGTAGCGGAAACTGCTTTGAAAGAGCTTGGAGGACTGGGAGATCTGAGGGTTTCGCGAAGGAACTTTGCAAGTGCGGCCAAGGGCCTGGGAAGGCAGCGAAGGGCAGGTGGGGGAGGGCGGAGGGCGGAGGGCGGAGAGGGTGTTCGGGTGAGGGTGGGGAGGGAGGGGAAGGAGGGGAGGGTGGGACCGGACGGCCTTTGCCTTAGCGCTCATCCCCGCCCCGCACCGCCCCGCCATCCAGGAAGTCCGCTGGGAGGACAAGACACCCGCAGGAAACCCTGGCGGCGGCGGCGGAATCCAGTCGTCTTTAAAATCGAATATCGATTCCGTACTTCATCCGGCGGCTGTATTTGACGTTTAGAAAAACGAAAGAAGTAAATTTCGCTCGGGTTTTGGACAGGGTGGGCGAATGAAATGGGAAAGGAGGAAAGAAAGAGGGAGACGATTGATACAGAGGCTTGTAGATGGAGGTATCACTTTATTAAAGCATTTACCGTAGTGTAATAAATATCATGATCATATCATTAAACATTATTCATTATATGTTCCTCTGGCAATAAAACTAATAGTTGCATTTCCCTAGGTATATTGTGTTCGATTCCCTATTTTAAGGTTACGATGAGATAGCTCAAAGCCACAAAAGTCGTGGTTTCTGTGACCAGAATATTCTAGGTTAGAACTAATTGATTAGGGATTAGGTGCATTTTTCCTGGGGAAGAGGCGGTGACCTACCCACGCTGGATGGTGTGATCCTCCAAATATTTCAGCAGGGTTTTCCCCAACCAGGCATCTCCCACCTGAGGGACACCGCCCTAGCCGGGACAAGTTCTAAGCTTCCGACTGATCCCGGCATGTATGGTAATGTAATGCACGTAAGTGTGTATGTAAGTAAAGGTGAAGATATGACAAGGAGGAGGAAGAAAGGATCGCGGGCGGTCAGTGGTCCATTTATGGTACTGGTCCGGCATTCACTACCGACAAGGATAATCGGCCAATAGAATTCTCATGCGAACAGTGACTGGATTCGATCTAGTAGTCCAGTTAGTGTCGAAGTAGGCCCTAGGGATCCAGACACTCTGGGGGCGTATTTGAACACTCTACCTTGATAGCTAGCTGCTCTGATCTGTAGTTGGGGAGAAGTACCCAAATAAATGGGCTACAGATCGCGTGCAATGTTTTCTTTCCTATCCCTGTTTCCTCCTTTCCGTATACACACGCGTATGCACTACGCTGCCACACATGTTGGAAGACCAGGTTGTCCCAGCAGCAATACCTGGAAGAGAAAACATCCGCAAGGCAATAAGTAAGTCGGCGGTAAATCTCTCGTTCTAGCGGGGCACACTAGAACACCAACGTCTCCCGGGATATAGCGAGCACTTCCGGGAATAATGACCGTAGATCTGTGCGTGCCCGGAAACACAAAATTCAATACAAATTTTTCGATTATTTCTTAACTTATACGAATACTAAATATTAAAGGTTAAAGCAATACTAACGATTCTGGAAAATGTAAATATTATACAAACAATTAAATTATATTTTACTAACCAAATTTGTTATAGGATACCCTTAACCTCAAAAATATTTTTAAAATGAAAACTAAATTGTGTAATACGTATTTAAGCAATATTCCAACGTATTGTAAGGTGGTTTGTTCACGAAAAAGAACAGATGAATGGGAGGTCTCGTCGGCGGCGTCATTCGAAATGGGAACTGCCGCCTAGAGGGAGCATTATCGAAGTGCGATGAAGCGGACATAACTAGTCTAGGCGGGCGCAGTAGGAACGCCCATACTGTGCGTGTGAAACCGGATAGGATTCGCAACCCCACGCCCATGATAGGCGTACTGGCGCGAAGTGTATCCGGTATGAGACAATGAGCTTCATAATCCAATTTGCGTCAGACATTAGATGGAATTTTTATATTCAGCCAGATACAAAATGACCATCAACTTATTACTAGTTATTGGAACAGATATACTGAGTATTTTTTTCAATGTTTCGTATTTTATTTCAACTACACAATTATCGTGTTATTTTTGATTGATCACCGTTAAAAATTATAACTTTATGCCCCTTTTACAATCTTTCTCGCGGACACTACTCGCTTGCTAAGCCGCATGGCGGCCAGGGACGTCTGGCTTCATTTTCAAAAGAAGTGCCCTTGTGGTCACGTGCTTCATGATGTATCAGGTGCTGCGCGGACTGAGAAAGAGTTATGCGGCGGAGCAGCATCTATTCGCATCGCAGATTAGTTCGTTTGACGCAGTATCTGTGGAGACGTTTTAGGCATTCAGAAGTTCTATTAGAACAAGGTTTCGAAAATTCCGATTTCTTCATCGTTTCGCCATATATCCAGGGATCAAGAAGGACAAAAATGTCGCGAATATAGGTACCTTTCAAATACATTTGTCGTATTCTTTGTAAATAGTATTTCACGAATTCTGGCGAATAATGTGATACAATAACGACAGAGTAATAGATTCAACTCACCACTTGCAGCGTCAAAGGCTAATAATGTATTGAGAATTTATTTCTGTTGTCACGTTATTTATTTTCTTCGTTTGATTAATTATTTTTAAATGCATTTTTCTCGACGGATGAATGTTTTTTCCCGGCTTTTTTTGCAAAATACATGTTAATTATTTTATTTTTTTGACGTCTTTTTTTTAATTTTTAGGCATCTAACAAACAAAAATCGTAGAATGTATTATTTTCACTACTGACCTATATCAAGACTTAAGTAAAGAAATATCTTGAAAGAGATTTAGAAGCAATTATATTATTAATATTATTTGAAGGAAATCAATAGAATATCAGTTGAATTACATTCGCGATTTACGTGAACTAGTAAATGATTGTCGACATGTTCCAAGCACGTATTTCTGTGCCAAAAGGAAACACAATTTCTCGGAATCGAATAAATCGTATTGCTGGGTGAACTATGAACATTGATTACCTTTGCTGGTGCCTGATGTAGGGGGAGTCTGAAGCAAGAACGAGTTTCATCAGCGTGGATCCGAGAAGGCAGGAAAAGGTCTGTCGACCGCACTGAGAGAAGCATGGAGTTTTTCACGGAGCGAGCGTCATCAGACCCGACGACATCGGCCCAGAGCAAGAGAGCATCGGCCCAGAGCATTCTTTATCCGATTCTCGAATTCTGGTTGGGACAGTTACCAGCAGTCTCATTTCATGTAAAGCAACGTACAAAAAAACTGCCACCTGGTATCCATTTTGATGGAACTACATCATTTTTAGATTGAGAGGAGGGAGACGGCTATATCTTTCTCCGATAAAATTTCTCTGCAATTTCAAAAACGGACTGTTCAGCGCTAACAGCGGTGGCGAGAGGTTGTGACCGCAGCGCTACCTTGTTAGTTCAGGCGGCGTCAAGCTGAGCACTCAGTGCGTTGCGAGTGCTCGTGAAGTGAACAGTGTTTTCAAAAGTTATTCCATCTCTTTAACCAATAGTGAAAATAGATAAAAGCGATTTACCGTGCTCTGACCTAGTACAGAGCATCAAAGAAGCGATACAGGCGGTGAACAACACTACGCCCGACGCCATGCAACATTCATCGGAGTACCAACAATTGCTCATCATAGATCAGCAAATACAGGCGCAACAGAATCAACTTCAGGAACAGCACCAACAACTGGTACAATTGCAACAGCAACTACAGGACCTTCAGACGCAAGTACAAAGCAGCCAACGCTCTAGTTAGCCGCCCTTGCAACACAGTGCACTTGCGCCAACAGAACAAGGTGAGCCCAAAAGACAAAAAGTTGATTGTGTTTCACATTATCCTATCCCTACGGGAAACAGGTTCGAACCATTAAACAACGAAACAGAAGACGACGAACATACCAGTTCCGCGGTTAAAATTCCTCCCATAATCATACACAAAGCGGAAAATTGATTCTCTCCGCAAGAAGATTTCACAACAAAAATAGAAGTAAAGTGGAAGTTAAACTTAATTCAATAGACGATTTTAGATATCTTCGTTCATTTTGCACTGAAAACATCATAGAATATCACACATTTCGTGATCAAAGCATAAAAACATTAAAGATATTCACACATTATACAGTGAAACAAAAATCTTCAAACCGTGAAATCTTCATACAGTGAAACAAAACCGAATCTAGTGAAAAAATACCCAGTAATCAAAGTAACTCGCCTAACGAAAAAGGCAGAAAATCATTAACAACTTGTGCTGTAGATTTAGAGGACAATGACAAGGGAATCTAGCCTTAGATGAGGCATTCTAGCTTTAGATAGATTTTTATAGTGTCATTATGATTATTTCCTAGATTCAACAAAAAATTACCAATACAATGTAAAAAGTGTCATTGATTTGATATATCTAAGCTAACTTTGGATATTGCTGGAATAACCAAAGCTTTCAACAAAATATGGCATCAAGGCCGTGTCTACAAATTAGGACAAATAGGCTACTTACACCACATTTTTAAAAGTTTCTTAAATCAAAGAATGTTTCAAGCTGACGACACTGCACTCTTCTCAAATCATGAGGACATTATGACAGCTAGAAATAACTTACAAATGACCTCAACACATTCAATAAATGGGCAAAAAATTGGAGAATTAAAATTAATCCAGATAGAACGCGAGAAAACATTTTCACGCTAAGATATTCCATCGCACTTCTCCAGTTAATTATGCACAACGAAAATGTTCTTTGGGTACCAAGTAACCCAGCAGCCAAGTATCTAGAAATGCAACTTTATATAAAATTAAACTGGACACTCACACAACTGGAACAAAAATACAAGCAAAACTTTCCCAACTTTACTCAATAATGAACAAAAAATCTTCCCTTAAATAGAGATCGAAATGATAATTTACAAGTGTATAATTCAACTTACCATGATTTACACATGCTCAGTATGAGGTAATGCATAATATAAACATTTTACAAGCAGTACAAAAGAAAGCGCTAAGAATTGTAATTAAAGTCCCATTGTTCATTTCGAAAAAGCAAATCCATAACGAACTGCAAATTGCGAAGGTAAAAGAACTCATTACTAAACTGTCTGAAGACTTCTTCAGATCGCTGCCCTATCTACTAGCACCTCCATATTCAACCTTGAACGCACAGAAGAACCGAACCGACTCTTCCCTAAAGACAAATTGAGACCATCCTAAAATAGCGAAAAATAGACCTGAAATTACATGACCTTCATCATATCAACGATCATTCTCCGCATTTTCAATTTGCTTTGAAAATAATTTAAATTAATAAAATAAACCAAAAGCATTTATCGCACTCGTCTAAGGCTCCCAC